TTATTCATTATTACAGGACAGCTATCTCTGTCATTTATATCCAAGTTTAAGTGAAAACAATTAGATGCTACTTTAAATCCTGAAATAAAAATATATTATCTTTGTCTTCAGAGAAAAAAATCAAAATGCCAACTCAAGATAACTTCCCTTCTGCGTATTTTGGATACTTTGAAGAGGAAATAATAATTTAGCATTTTAAACTTCGTGAGTCACTCTATATTTACCAAAAGTCTCCTTCTCTATGCTAAAATTTAATTACTTGCGTATGTGAAAAAAATTGCCCTAAAAGATTTTAATGAGAAAAAATTATTCAAAATATCACGGGGAAAAATTATTTCAATCCTCTATGATTCAAAAAATAAATATATAAATTAATAAAAGGAAGGAAAATACATAGGCTATAAATAACTAATTTACTTACAATTTGTCTACTATCTTCAAAATCTAAACTATTATTTTGTCGTGGAACGGCTACGGAAATCGGCATTAGATCATTTTTTTTAATTCTTTATTAACAGTTCAGTTGTTAGTCATAATCATACAAATTATAAAATACATATATATTTTTATTAAATTAAAATATCCAAAGTAATATTAATCTTTCTCATTAAAGAAAAAGGTTCCTAACGTCCGAACCGTCACTACCGTTTCAGAAAAATGCCGCCTCTTAAGATTTTTTACCATAACGTAAAAACTAGAACATTAAAAAATATGAAATTTGACCCATTTTTAGAGAAATGTTTGAGGAAGACTCTGTTATAAAAGAAGTTATGCATGAGGTCAAAAAGTTTTTAGTCATTTAAAGGCAATGATCAAGTTTTTTTAAATGTGTAAGTCAAATTATTAAACTATTAGCAGCAGTATAATGATTCTTTGCAACCAGGTACTCTGTAGCTGAAGGTGAAAAAGTCTAACTTCGTTTAAATTTCGAATTAGTTTTGGAGTTACTAAATAACTTATCTTCAACTTTTTGAACGTAAAAGAAAAATTAGTCACCGAAAAAACTATAAATTTTCGTAGTCTCTTATACTTGTATTTGAAGAATCTTAACCAATTCCTTTTTATGAAAATTTGAAGTAGTTTTAGGTTCAATAAATTTCCAAGCACGTACTTCAGATTTTTTTCTTTTTTCGTTGAAATTTCTTTACATAATTTCGAAAGGTAAACAAAAAAAAAATCGTTCCTTTTTCCTCTTTCAGAAAATAACATGACCATTTGGTCTAACTTAAAAAAGTATTTCTTTATTATTTAATTAGTAGTCTTGATCTGAAAATTCATGCAAATAAAGTGAGATTTCTAAAATTTATCTTCTTATTATCTTCTTTTTTAAGTTTAATTTTGTTGTTGATTTTGAAGTCTACCGTGTTTGGCAAAAGGTTTATTTCTTTTCTTGATAGAATATGCACAATTTAGCGTTTTGAGATATAAAACTCAAATCACATAAACAGATAAATGTTTGAGGATTTTTAACAAGTTTTAAATTCAAGCAAGAAAACCAACATTAATTTTTTTTTACGAAATCTGAAACTATTTGAAACAGGTTGCATATAAAGGAGGGAGCACCAATTGGTTTTTTAAACTCCCATATATAACAAGAAATATTTAAAAATAGTTGGAAAAAAAACCTTGTTTAGTAAATGAAGATGCTTGCTTATTCAGAAAATGCATATCGTTATCATAATGATGACCACTTGGTGATTTTTATAATTTTCTAAAAAAAAATTGAGTCCATTTAAAACAGGTTTCATGTAACAGAGGGGGCATCAATTTTTTTTACACTTCCATACATAACAATCAAAATTTTTTGAAAAATAAGAAAAATAAAACTTGTTTAGACCCCAAAATATTATATTCAGTGCATATACAGTGCGAAAAAAAAATGGATTACCCTGAATAACTTTTGATCTAATGATCGGATCGGATCTAATGATCGAAATGATCGGATGAGTGTTTTAGGAATCAATCTTAATGTCTCAAGGGGGTGACCACAAATATGCTAATTAATAAGTCCAGACGATATTTTAATTACAAAATCAGACACAAAAGCGTACTTTCTCTGAATAAACCTACCTTTTTTTCTGACGGATTCAGATTTCTGACCCCCAAAATATAGGGAGCGGCAGCAATCTGGGAAAAATAGTTCCAATAGTTTGGTCAGGAGAGCACTCCAAAGTTTGGATCCCTTAATATTAATTTCACTTTTTGAGTATTTCACCATATCTCGAAAACGTATTAACGAATTGAAAAATCTTTGCCCATAATTATAAAATTAGCTCATCTAAAAATAAATTCTTGCAAAAAAATAGCTATTAGTCAATATTTTATACTGTTTATTATTTTATTTAATAATAGTCGAAAAAGTGTGAATTGTACAATTCAAATTTTTTCGTACATGATTTTAAGATACATAATTTTTTGCATAATTTTAAAGAATATAATTTTATATGGCAAAATACAAAATTTGAGCAAAATCGGTTGAATAATTCCTGAGAAATTGTTTTTAAAAAAGTCAGATATATTCGACCGATTTTGCTCAAATTTTGTATTTTGCCAAGCAAAACTATATTCTTTAAAAAGATGTAAAAATTGTATACTTTACACTTCAAAATCTTTTAGACCATTATTAAATGAAAAAATAAAGTAAAAACTTTTTTTAATAAAGGTTATTTTTTGCACGGAATTATCTTTCGACAAACGAATTTTATAATTGTGTGCAAAAAATTTTCAATTCGCTTAAAAAGTTTTCGAGATATAGCGAAGTAAGCCAAAAGTAAAATTAACATTAAGGAGGTCAAAACTTTGGACCGTTCTCCTGACCAAACTATTGGTTACATATTTCCCAGATAGACCAAATCCGTTGGGAAAAAAGACACGTTTATTCAGCGAAAGTACGTTTTTGTGTCTGATTTCGTAATTTTAAATATCGTCTGGACTTATTAATTAGCATCTTTGAGGTCATCCCCTTGAACAATAAGATTGAGTCCTGAAACGTAAAGATCCAATCATTGGATCAAAAGTTATTCAGGGTAATCCTTTTTTTCTTCGCTTCCCTCTTTTATTCGCGATGGAAATGGGGTGCAGGTGGCGTAGAGCAGAACTCTCTACCTATGGAAACACTTGACATGCTTTCCCCATTAGCGTGTGAAAAGTCATAGAGACAGGAAGTATGTTAGTTTCTCTCTTGATTTTCATATAGATAAAAATCTTTAAAGTTGAAAAAATATGTGGAACTGAAAACTAAATTAAACATAGTTCTAAAGAAAAGTATCACGGAAATTTTAAAAAAATATTTTTATTAAATAAAAAGGAAAAATATTAAGAAACGGGAAAATATCGTAGTACATTCCTATACAACTAAGAAGAGGAGGAGAGGGAAGGGAGAAGGGCTTAAAACATGAAACCGGTCTCTCCCCAGATGGCGTATTCGAGTGTTTTGATCGCCAATACTTCACCAAACAAGCTCTTCTTTGAGTGAGATTTTTTTTTTACGCATTGTTTGCATACAATAAAAGTGGTTAATGAACGAATCACAGAAAGTTTCACAAAGTGTCCATCCCTGTGTCAGTGCTATTCATGCTCTGAATATTACATTTTGGAAACACAAATACTTGTCAGGTTTGTGACAAAACAAGTGTCATTTTAAAACTTTCAAAAAACATTTCTTGTTTATCATGGGTGTTTAAGAAAATTGACGCTGACTCTCTAAATTGAAACCAGTTTCATTTGAATTTTGTCATTGCAAAAAATAATAAATAACTCACAAAATGNAAAAAAAAAAAAAAAAAAAAAAAAAAAAAAAAAAAAAAAAAAAAAAAAAAAAAAAAAAACGAACCACCCAGAATAATTTGGATCTAATGATCGGATTTTTACGTTCTAAGATGGAATCCTAATGGCTCGAGGAGGTGACCTCAAATAAGCTAATTAATAAATACAGACGATATTTTAAGTCATGAAATCAGAGACAAAAACGTATCGGATCTTTTACCTGTTGATCGCACGATCGGATCTTTCACCTGTTCAGTCATTTAAGATGCTTATTCAGAATACGTATATCACTATCATGATGATGGCCACTTGGCAATTTTTTTAAATCATTTTTTAAAAAATTTGAGTCTCTTTGAAACAGGTTTCATATTGGTGATCGCAACACTCGAATACGCCATCTGGGGAGAAACCGGTTTCATGCCTTCAGCCCTTCTCTCTTCCCTCTCTTCCTCTTTTCAGTTGTATAGGGATGTACTACGATGTTTTCCCTTTTCTTAATATTTTTCCTTTTTATTTAATAAAAATATTTTTTAAAATTTCCGTGACACTTTTCTTTAGAACTATGTTGAATGTAGTTTTCAGTACCGCAGTTTTCCAACTTAAAAGATTTTAATGTATATGAAAATCAAGAGAGAAACTAACGTACTTCCTTTCTCTATGACTTTCCACACGCTAATGGGAAAAGCGTGTGAAGTGTTGCCATAGGTAGAGAGTTCTGCTCTACGCCACCCGCAGCCCATTTCGATCGCCAATATTCCTGCGAACAACTCCCCAATCAGGCTCTCATTTGAATACAATTTTGTCTTATACAGTAAGAACGGTACCTAAGAAATAAGCACTTGCAATAAAGAGTCATTCTTGTTGAATATGGTTCAACCATTTTCGATTACAGGAAAGAGAATATTGAGAACCTGATTGGTAAGATTTTTGCTGCTAAATATTTTCCACCAATCAGGTTCTCATTTTCCCATCAAAGTAATCGGAAGTGCGCGAACCACATTCAGTAAGATTAACCCTTAATTGCATGACTCTTTATGAAGCATTCTCACTATGTAATTCCCATCCTCATTCGCATGTTAATACAATCATGCATGCTCGAGGTAATTTCTAAACCTTAGCGCGCGCATTTTGGGTAATTACAAGTAGTGTGAATGACTCTGAAAACATGCTTTGGCCACCGAGGTATTGCTTATTTTCGGCTACTGCCATTGGCCCATGTTGACTATAACTGTATGCTCGCGATTCGGAACTTGAGCAGACGCAGTTTTAAAACAGTAAACAATTAAAGTATATTATGCATCAATCTGGACATTCAGTTCGATATTTGAAGTACTATAGGTGCTTAAAACTTTTGGTTAGATAAAATTGATCGTGAATAAAAGTTTTAAAAAATCAAGTTACAGAAATGGATTGGTTCGGAAACATTAATATTGCAAGGTTTAATTATTTTTCCAGATGTGAGTATTTATAAACATTCCTTGCATATTTATGGTTTTATGCAATCTTAGCGTTAAATATTTTTGTTTTTTAAATTGTTTACACTTTCAGATCCATAAGTAGCGCATTCATTTTATGTAGTTTTTAACATCTTTTGTGTGATTGATTAAAATAAAAATAACAAAAAAGTTAAATCACAGAAATTGACAACTTTTGCAATTTTGATATTTCTCTTTGCTGTTGATAGTTAAAATTTCATGATCAGTTAATTTAATAAAATCAAAGTAATTAAAGTTGTTACTTTTCATAACATCAATGTGAAACTCTTTATTTCAGTGGAAGTACTGTTGATTTTCAGATAAATGTACTTTTCTTTTATTGCAGTTTTCACAATCTACACCATTCATTTACTCATTTTCTATTACATAATTTATTAATTTATGTCAGTAGTAAGTTAGTTAGCATTCAATTAGCAAAATAATTTATGGTATTGATTATATTTTTGTTGAAACTTTGATCAGCTATGGTTGCTTAAAACTCTAAAATTTTAAAATATTTGTTTAAGAGTTTTCTTTTTGTGTTATTCACTAAAAGATATCAGCAGTAGGTTATTAAATAAAATTTAATAACCTACTAATAACCAAAATAGTGTCTGGCTTTTTTTTACATTGTTCTTGAAAACATATATATGAGCTTATTAAATGAGGAGATTATGTTTTACGTAAGTTTAGCGTGTGATGTACTTCTATAGTATACTGAAGTACTTAGGTTCTAGAAATGAATGTGCTCAATAGTTTTAAGTTGGATTAGACTTAGACTTTAATTCCATAGAAATATACAATAAATAAATTTCATCAAAATCAAATAACCTTTGTTATTATTCATAATATTCCATATAATATCTATATTTTTATGTAAATACTGTTGTATTTGCAGATAAATATGCTTTCTATGCCTACTTGTATCCCAGTTTGTGTCACTCATTTAAGAGCTTTCTGTTTGTGTTCTTAACAAATTGATATTAGCTGTAGGTTGAATAACATTCGGTTAGCTTACATATTTTATTTTATCTTCGTTGAAAACATACATGAGCTTATTAAATCTGATTATGTGTTAGATTAATTTATCAAAGTGATGTAGTTATGCTATGGTGCTGTACTTAATTATCAGAGATAGGGTGTGCTTCAAAGTAGTAGTTTTTTAGGTTTTTTCTTAAACATTTAATTTTTCCTCCTTTTAACGAAGATTTTGTGTTAGGTTAATTTACCAAAGTAACTTACGTGTCTGATGTAGTTATGCTATGGTGCTGTACTTAAATATCAGAGATAGGGTGTGCTTTTAAATATTAGTTTTTTAGGTTATCTCTTAGACATTTAATTTTTCCTCCTTTTAAAGATGATTATGTGTTACGTTAATTTATCAAAGTAACCGTGTGTGTGATGTAGTTATGCTATGCTACTGTACTTAAGTATCAGAGATAGGGTGTACTTTAAAGTTGTAGTTTTTTAGGTTTTCTCTTAGACATTTAATTTTTCCTCCTTTTAAAGGAGATTATGTGTTAGGTTAATTTACTAAAGTAACTGTGTGTGTGATGTAGTTATGCTATGTTACTATACTTAAGTATTAGAGATAGGGCATGCTTTAATATAATAGTTTTTAGGTTTTCTCTTGGACATTTAATATTCCCTTTTATTTTCCGAAGGGGTGGCAACTTTCTTCCATGGAAGAAAAAACTGCCCAGTACGAAATATGTTTCTTCCAACTCAATTAGAAAAAATGAAAGAAACTCCTTATTAAAAGGAAATATTGAATATTAAAAAAAAAATTTGAATCATTTATAACTGCAATCTAGTTTAAATAAAATACTAATTTCCAAGCTATTTAATATATAATTTTGAATATGAGAAAACTAAAATGCAATAAATGGGAACAAAAATAATTTAATGTATTTTTTAAGAAATTATAAAATAAGGGTAGTTTTTTTTGTTGTTGATATTTTATGTAAATGAGTGTAGTTAAACCTAATTCTATAAAGAACTGTTAAAATAGCATAATCAAATTTTATTAATACAACTAAATTAAAAAACAAACAACATCCTTCTAAATATCAAATACTATATTTGTATTTACAAATAAACAATTAGCATACTAATTTTTATAATCAACTTCTGTTAAGTATGAATACTCAAAACGACTCTTAAAAAACATAATACTCAAATTTTAAATTTCTATATAGAATTGAGATGAATAAGAGTAGTTATTTAATAAATAACAGTAGTTATTAAATAAATAAGTGTAGCTACTTTTTAAAAATTAGATGTAAAAACTTTCAGCTTTGTGTTACTATATTAAATTTATTTTGTTGAAATTGAAGCTGTATTTATAATACGAATTGCTAAAGAACTGCATTGGCCATTTTTAGTTTCCTCCATTTTGTCCAGTTTCTTCTGATTTTTCCAGTATCCTGGAAGAAATAATTTTCCAGACATAGCCTTGATTTTTAGGCATTGCTAGTTGATATTTTTTCAATTACTATTCTATTTCTAAAGACTGAGTTGCGACAACAAATTTGAATATTTAATTTTAAAAATTTGGAAAAAGAGAATCCCAACTTATCTCTAACAAGCATCCTCTGGTTAAATAGAAAATGCAAGCAAGTACTAACACCCTTAAAGTTATTGGTATATTTTTAGTGTCTGACATTCTAGAAGAATTTATAAGTGCAAATAAAGCTTAATTTTTAGGAAGAAAGAGGTGGGAACCTTAATACATACAGCTAGTTTTGAAAAACAAAGTGTAAAATGTGCATATATTTTTGATTTGAAATGTAACATATTTTCTTAAATCCAGGCATAATCAACACTTCAAACATTTTTTCCTTAACACAGAAAATGCTATTTATGCTGAATAATAACCTTGATTACTTTATATAATTAAACACAGTAACAGTTACATACTTCCAAATATGCAACAATAAACATCAATGATATACTAGAGATAAGTAACATGTATAATTTGCTATGGAAAACAGAAATTTTCTAGAAATTTTGCAAAAATAGAAAAAAAGAAAAGAGTTTTAACTTCATTCTTTCCAAATAGCAATACTGATCAGCTTCCCTGCACTCCAGTTAACATATCAAACTTCACTGAAGTAAAAAAAAAAGTTAAGGAATTGAGTCCTCATGTAATTTAAGCCCCAATTGCAAAAATCAACAATATTGTTTCTTTTATCTGCCTATAATGAAAAATGTCTTACTTGATGTTACATTTATTGTTTACAGTTATTTATATTAAAAGTTAAGTTGTACAAAACGATAAAAAAGTAAATAAAAAATAATAATTTATGTTTTCTAAATTTAATACAGTTTTATAAATATTCTTTAAATCTTATTCAAAATTGTTATTAGGTCTCAAAAATTACATTTCCCTACATGCATTTATTATTGTAAATAATTAATATATGTGTAAATATTAATTAAATTATATTTATGATATGGCATGTAACTGTTTAGTTAGAAATACCGATTAAGCGTTCTTCAAATTTTACGAAAACCACCAAAATTAGAACGAAAAGGGGACTCGATTATGTTCGATGAAACTTAAATGCTACTGATTTAATTATATAAATAAGAATTTTTAAAAGTTAAAATAGGCTTGTTTTTTTTCCTAGTCATATTTTTATTTCTTTAAAAAAAAAGTTTGAAATGGACTGGCAAGGAATGAGTATATCATGATTTTCTGCCAATTTATCGGTAATTTATCCCAGCGGTTTCAAAAAAGGTATTCCGTTGATCCTTAGGATTCCATGGACAAGTGTTCCGAAAGTTAGGACTCTTATTTAACCTATTATGATTTTTAAAACCTGTATTTTATGTTCCGACAATAATCCAATATTTATTTAATATTTCACTTATTTTAATGAAATTATTTAGGGGAAATATAGAGAAATAGGGAAAAAAGCAATATAATAAGAAAATAATGAAAAGCATATGCATGTGCAAAATTTGCATTAGTATTTCCACTCGAACTTTTCAATCTAAAGTAAAAGAAAACAAAATGCAAGGATAAAGAAATATGTTTCTCTAGTAATCATTCACAACTTTTATAGCAGTTCTTTTTCGTTTTCATTTCAACGTGAAACCAGTTCAACTTGTTTTATTTATTTTCAGCTTACACCAAAAATAAATTCTAAAGAAGATTAAATGCTGTTTTGTATATTTAACTGTCTGACATAAATATTCAGTTTTAGGCTAGCATTGATAAATATGTAAAAATTTCATTCTCCACATTTTCGAAATAATTAGCAGTCTTTCTTTTGTTAGTATGTTCGCAATCACAAATGAACTTTATCTATAGAGTCGGGGCTCCGCTAAACGACAATCGATCATTTAGGGTTCCATAGCCGAAAAAAAATTAAAAATCGCTTATTTATCTCACTGTGCTCCATTGTTTTTGCGAAACTCTTCTCTCTGCTTGATCCGCATATATTTTGTTTAAACAGAGACTGCGAACATTGCAAAATAATCGAAAGTTGATTGTGAATGAAAATACTTCCAGGTATTTCGATATACGTAATTTAATATTATCAAACACAAAATAACCGGCTATCGCGTATATATTACTGAATTATATGTGATACATATATTTTTTTATTTCATTCCTAAAAGCGAATGACTGAACCTTTTTTTAATTTTTTTTCTTCAAACTTTTTATTATCGTTTTATTTTTATATTTCATTCACAACATAAGTGCTCCTGAAAGTTAGGATTTTGAGATGAATGGTAACTCTAAAAACAATTATCTAAAAATAGTTAGATAAATTATTTTCCAATTTTAAATTATGAGAAATTTTTTGAGGTGCCTCCTCTAGAAATGTGGAGAGTTTTACCTGATATTTTGTTACCTCTATATGATATACAACTTATATATGATATTACCTCTAAATGATAATAAAATATAGAGAGCAAGGTTTTTTAATTTTCAATGCTAAAATTAAATGTCTAAAACAAATTTAAATGTT